CATAAACAGTGAGTTCCAGCGCAGTTAGCTACTGTAATGCATTGTATCGCATCCTGGCCGTCTCCCCAAGTTCTAGGGCGGGAAGGGGCATGGTGGTGCATTGAACTCCACTCACATAGCCACTGCATCCTTTTATAGATCCTTTGACAGGATCTGTGAATGAAGAAACTATAAGTCATTCTGCCACCGCAGCAGAGGGACTTGTAGTTCCCAGAGGGGAACAACTGTGGCCCTCCCATCCTGTAACTGAACATCTGTACCTTGGTACAGACAAAGGCTGGGAAGAAAAGGCTTCAGGAGCCTGAGCATTGCACCCGCGATCAATTGATCAGTTGCAATGCTTTACTGGCTCCAATGCAAAAAAGAAATGCATATATTTCTTCTATTATTGTGCGTGTGCGCATTTATTTTTTTTAAACAAAAACAAAACGTGACTATGTCTTTATGTGCTTATGTTAGTCTACAAAGTGACAGGTTTACTTTAAAATAATAAAACTCAGCCCCCCATATATTGTAGATAGGGGTCTGCTAAAAGATGAAGGTGTTCACAGGTAAAGGTGCCCATACACCTTACGACCATCGCAAGACTTTTGTCTTGCGATGGTCGTATGCTTCTTGAAAGCCCGTACGATCTGCCCACCTTGGACAGGCAGATCGTACTTGCGATCATCGAAAGCCCGCCCCGCCGAGGGGCGGGCTTCCAATGACGGCAATGCAGAACGGGCAGTGTGCGCGTGCGCACACCGGCCCGTTCCGCAGCTATCGGGCGAGCAGGCTAGAAACCCGCCGAGAATCGTACGATTCTCGCCGGGTTTTCGAACATGTTGGGTCGACAAAAGACGTGCCACCGTACAGTAGAAACGGTCGCACGTCTTAGTTCACACTGCTCGATTCTCGTACGATCGCGGGATTTCGCCCGATTCTCGTACGAGAATCGAGCAGTGTATGGGCACCTTTAGACAAAAATCAGCCTGGTCATCAAACATCTGATCTGTTTCTGAGCTATAACTGAACAAAGCTAAAAACTTTGGATTTTTTTTAACATGATACAAACAAGTTATCTTTTTTATTGTCCATTGTACATCTGGATCATAGACTATACTGCCTGAGCAAATAAACCTGCACTATCCCTAACAAACATTCTGTGACTGACACATGTGAACCTCAGCAGAAGTGTGCGGGTACCGCACAGTAATCACCAACATCAAACCCTACTGGCCTTTTTCCCATGGAATAGCTTGTGTTTCATACTTTGTGCAAATGATCAGGAGTTTCAGATCTAGAACAACTTTCTTATCTAAAAAGGTCCAGTAACAGAATCACAAGATACAATTAGGGCAATGTGATTCATTAGCCAATACAATGCTGTTTTTACATTTCTCAGGTTATTAGTCCATAGGGGTAAAGCCCTATAATAGTTTTATTATTGTTATTAATAATGAAGTGTATATAAAAAACAAACATTCTCCTCCACACATTCCAGTGCTGTAATGTTGTACTACATTTGCCTTTTTTTTACATGATGATCCTTCAAGTTTCTTGAAGAGGAGTTTCACCCTACCTAGGGAAAATGTAATTTCAACTCACTGATAATTGTCCCTGTATGATAACAAAAAAACCCCAAAACAAAACAATAAACCATGGAGCCCAGCATTGTTTTCCTTACAATACTATCCTGAAGGGCCCATTCACACATACTGTGGTGACCTGCATCGTACCACATTGAATAAACGCAGGTAATGGCAATTGTTTTCTATGTGCCCCATTCACACCGCAACGTGGATGGGATAGATGGTGCGCTGTGATAAAATGCAAACATGCTGCATTTTATCGCAGCACACTGGATGCTGTTTTGCAGGGACCTGAATGGAATGTACACATTGTACATCCCACATAAAGTTTTTTTTTTTAAATAACAAAATGTAAACAGTGCCAGCTCACTGCCGGAGCTGCCACAAAGCACTAGCTTGTCCACTGACACACAGAGCTTTAGCTGACAGGCTAGCGTGATTGGGCCCAAAACTCCTGTTCAGGGAGATCTGCACAGACATGCCGCTAGTCTCTGCCTGGTCCAAAATACCTAACAGAAACCAGTGACATTTTCTGCGTATGCCCCGATGTGATGTGCACATCCCAGAAGGCAGCCGACCTACGCCATTTCATCTAGGCGAAGTTGTGCTTTAATTCCTGTTCTAGAATGGCAAAGTTCCCCTAAGTCACTGGTCGTCACTGTGCTGCTCTGAAGAAGGGTCCCTGCGTGGTCCCGAAATGCTAGCATAGATGGCATAACGTGACATTTAATAAATCCTGAGAAGAGTGAAGCTCCATCTCATGTGTGCTGGTGATATACTATTGCTATTGGAAAGCTCGGCACTGCGCCATCTGCGACATCAGTACAACAACCACCATTACTTAATGGTCTCAAAATCCTGTAAGGTGTGCAGGTGGATTCTTTGCAATACCCCAAGTCCCCCCTTACAGCCCTTCCTCAGGCTCTAATGCAGAGGTGGGCAACTCTCGCCCTCCATCTGTGCTTTAACTACAAATTCAAACATGCCTCTGCCACTGGGAGTCATGCCTGTAACTTTCAGTCTTGCAATGCCTCATGGGACTTGTAGCTCCATAACAGCTGGAGGGCCGGACTGTACAGCCAGGTTGGTGGCCTGGCTTCCCTTTTGCAGTTAAAGAGCAACTTTACCCTTATATTTAAAATTACAAAAAGGCACCTTTAGGAATGTTTAGTAATGACAATTTACAAACAGATACTTCTAGATAATTGTCGCCTTCTTATTCCTTGCTTTTTTTTTCTCCATATTCTCACAGTGGCCATTTTTACTAAGGGCAGATAATTCCATCTCCCTTTACTTCCTGGAACTTTGGCACATGTGACTAGGACACGTGACCATGCACATCATTTCAGGGGAGGAAAATGCCTTTCCCTGAGATCTCATGAGATTTCCCAGCAATGCTCTGCTGATGTAATCTGCCCAGGATGCAGCTCTTAGGCACATTACATCACTAATGCCTAAGAGGACCAGGACGTAGAAAAACTGTAAATTGTAAGTAAAATAAAGATATGATTGTTTACCTAATGCATGTATGATTATTTAATATCAGCATGCAGAGCTGCACGCTGATTTGATTTTATGTGAAAGGGGGTAAAGGTTCACTTTAAAGCAAAACTCCCCTTGCAGTGGTCCTGCCCTGGCACTACAAGGGGTAAATGCTCGCCTAGGTCTAGGGTAGCTGTGTAAAGGGTTTTTACTGAACTGATCACCACTACCACAGGCTCCCTGCAGGCTCCAACACTGGCACCCACAGCCTTCCCCCCTCTGCTCCGGTGCTCGGAGGCCCCCCAGACATCATGACCCAGAGCCCTTCATTATACCTGAAGATACCAAAGGACGGTCCACAAGCAGGAGCGGAGGAGGGATGAGGAGAGCACTGAATGCCAGGGGAGCAAGGATCTGGTAAGTAAAAGTTTATGGCACAGCTACCCTAGACAAGCATTTAACCCTTGCAGGGCCAGGGCAGCCACGCTGCAGGAGGAATTCTGTGTTTCCTCAAAGGTAGCCTTTAAGAAATGAATCCAGTTAACCCTTCTAAGGCCTCATTCACACTGCCGCGCATATACGCACGTATGTGCGTATTGCAACATATGCAAATAAATGGCTCCATACACATAGCCACGTATGGAGCCGTATATTTGCGTAGCATATATATATATGCGCAAAAACAGAATGGAACCGAGATGCGTCCGGGCAGTGTATTTCGCATATATAGTTCATAAAGATTTCCATTAGGGATTATGCATTCTGGGAATGCAAATAGTGCACGCATATACGCTTGTATATACGCGCATAGACGCGTATATACGCAATATACAATTTTGCTTGCGTTGTGTGTGAATGAGGCCTAACCCTGACTGTGATTGGACAATGTTTGAGCAACAGCAGTCCTCCTGTTAGCACATGTGAAAACAGGACATCTGATTGGCCCCTAGTGATGCCCCTCCCTCTCCCAGCCTTAGCTCTATTGTAATGATAACTAGAAGAGGCTGATGGCATGGCAAATGAGGGTACTTACACTAGTTGCTTTACAAAAAAAAAACATTTTTGTTAAATCACTTCACACCGACATTCAATGGTTGCCGGGAGATCAGCTTTAAGAAAGCATCTTGTGGGTGTTCCCAGTCCCCTGTCTTTTTATCCAATGCTCTGTCAAACCAGAAATACATTTCTCTTTCTATATGTCCGACGTGTCATCCTTTCATAATGCACCAATCAGACAGAGCCACATAAGGATGACAGACATTAATAGATGGACATGGATTTATTATATTCCGGATACACATGCCCATAGAGTGAAAACGCAAACACATCAGTTTTACAAATGTATTTTCATACAGAAATGGATTTGTTTCATCTAAACCCAGCACCGCCAACATGTTTCTAGAATCTAAGTCTTATGTCTACCATAGAGGAAATAACTAGATATAGCATGAAAAGGTGATCTCCTTACAAATAAACAGATCTGTCATTTGAGGATCTGGAATCCCCCCACAATGTGCCCTGAGATCTGCAACCCCCCACACAATGTGCCCTGAGATTTGGTGTCCCCCACACAATGTGCCCTAAAATCTGGGACCCCCCAACTACAGTGTAGGCAAAACTTCACTGTAGGAAGTTCTATTCCACAATGCAGACACGTTATGATACACTAGTACAGGTAATCCCCACATACACAAGTGTTATGAGATCTCACTGCATAAAAAAACAACACACAAAGCAGATAACTGGGTCATCATTTCTATATAGGCTGCGTAACAAAAACCGAAACAATAGCCTCCTGTGTGACATCAGACACCCACACACCAATGGTACCATCACAGCCAGCCAGTCCAGGCAGCACACAAAGACCTGACAACACAGCACACATATAACCGCACAGGACGTCTGGAGGGGCCCCCCGCCCCCCCCCCCCCCAGTCCCCCCTATTACCGGGGCTCTTCAAGTTGTAGCGAGCCTCCATGACTGTCTGACAGTAGCTGCCAGTTCCCCGCCCCTGCTCCGCCCACATACGTCACGCCGCATCGCTCCAGCCACGTCACTGTAAAGAGTGGCTAGAGAGTGGGCGGGGCTTGATACTGCGCTGAATGCAAATCAGGTCGTTTCTTTGCGCCTATTGGGGCTATCCGTCTGAGCACGTGACAGGCTAGCTGTCATTGAGGAGGTTATCAGCTCACGGATACAGGTCTATGGACAGATTACAGGGCAAAGCACCGCTAAATCAATTGTGGCTTTGGACTCATTTAACCCTCTCACCACCGGAGGGCTTTTTGTGTTTAATGTTGCGCACACATACTAACATGCACATATTTATGAAAACGCAGAAAATGTTATAGAGACTATAGAGTCAAATAAAATGATAGGAGTTGGAATATTTTATGTTGCGCGATATTTGTGATACTGTTTATGAAACATATATTTTTGGTAAATAATACACTAAAATATATTTTGTGAACAGGTAAGTTTATTATTTTTATGCATACAGAAACAAAACAAAGCAAACAAAAAAAGAACAAGTTGATTCTACTACAAATCAAGCCAATCATCCAGCAAGACAAAATACAGTAAAGAAATATCACAAAATATCACATTAACAAAGTGCAATAGAGGCACAGGCAAGGTATTAATAATAGGGGTAATATGGCAACCCATCACATATCAATAGAATCTAGAGGGAATGAGATCACAGTAAAACCCAGACAAAAAAGAAAAGTGTAGCACCCTACTGGAAAGGGGGGTATTAAATGTAGTGATTGTCACATTGTATGCAGTCTGATGTTAATTTTTAGTCTGGGTTAATTTGGCTTTACGCTGAACAATCTGTCATTGCTTGCCATCTGTCTGCTGCTAGAGGTACTGCAGGATGTACCCTGGTGATAGAACTAGGGTTGCCACATTTTTTTCAAGCGAAACCCGAACACCTAGCGACGCGCCGACATTTTTTGGGGAGAATGAGTCGCGGCTTATTCATGTATAAATAGTGCCACCCATTCATATGTAAATATCACAGTCAATGCTATTTTCAGTGGGGGGACAGTAGCCCCTATCCTAATTTTGGTTGCCCCTCTCTGCCTGACATCTTGGGTCCGGGTTTCTGCTGCCATGAAACCTGGACACAGCATTCAAAACCCGGACTGTCTGGGTCAATACTGGACAAGTGGCAACCCTTAATAGAACAGAGCAACCAATGGGATTGCTAGAAGTGTATATCCCTCTCCAGCCAATCACTGTTGAACGATGGCCAGTGCTGCATGCTGGGAGAGGAGTTAAATACTTGTGGTGGACCATGTGAGCTCTCTCTTCCTCCCCTGGGGCTGCCATGGATTGTCTGAGATGTCCAGGCCGAAGCCTGGGACCAGCCGTGTGATGACCCTGGAGCCTGGTGGCAGCAGGGCCAGTGGCTACTACTAAAGACAAGGATCAGTCACTTCTACCTCAAGTAATGCAGTGTCAAGTGTCCGACCTGCTGTGCATGGAGACAGTAACCACACTCTGAAAAGTCTACATCTGCTTGGATGATCATAACCCTCCTCCTCTCTCTCCCTGAAGTTCTTCAATAAAAGTTTCAAGCATCATAACTACAGTCTGGACCTCACTTCAATTGATCACCAGAAAGGGTGGGAAGTGCTAAAGGGCAAAGCGAGTGAAGGTATTCCTAGACAAGAAGAATCCGGAGCTGCCGTAACTCATAGCAACTGACAATAGTAACTCAAGGTGTGCTGGTGTGCTGTGGATTCTTAATAGAGGTTTCTTATAGAGGGAGACCCGTTATTTTATTTTACTGTAGATCACCCCTTCAGAGCCACCGGCAGTGTTATCCTGTGCTGGGATAACGCTGACCGGAGAAGGAGGACGCTACAAAAGAGAGAAAAAAATTCAATTGAATATACCTATCTCTGGCTGAAATCATGAGGTATATGTATTGTTGGACAACATCATCCCAATTGTCCCTAGGTCAGGAATGTTCAGCTGCCAGTTCACAAAAGGATGGGAGCCCCCTGAGGTAGTAAAACTAGACAATCGGAGATTAATGGAGGAGAGAGACATTTTCCAATCCCAGGAGCTCTAAGCAGTTTCTCAATGCGGTCAGACTCAATGGTTATAGGCCTGGTTAATTGAGAGCGGACAGCATGACGTGGATGAAAAACATCCAATTCGGCAATTAAAAGTAAAGTTTGAGCGCATCGAAATCCAGCAGCGAGCCTTACGGCATTATAGGCCGCAGTGTCTTAATTCCAAATCTGGTCCACAGCTGAGGGTCCAGAATCGATTGTAGATGGGGGAGCACATGGTTGCCCCACAACAGGGTATGTGCAGAATACATCGGGCGACAGACCATCAAGGTAGTTTTTATAGGGGTAGTGACATCAGGATTAGACTTAGGACCTCAAAATACCAGATTACTGAGCTCAGCAAATGAAGCATGAATGCAGTGGCTGGGAGTGTCGGATGATCCGACACTCCCGGCGCTGAGATGGGGGGCCCGCTGGCCGCTGGGTACCGATCCGGCGCTGGGCCCCCTAGAGCCCCAAGGCCCTGGTGCGTCCGCACCGCCTGCACCGGCGGTAGTTCCGCCACTGCATGAATGGCTCCAGTTAGATTCACCGCTGGATTATCAATGGAAGGGGTTAACCACCATTGGCCTGTCACCCGAGCAGCAGCCCAGTAATATTTCTGGAAACATGGAAGGGCCAGGCCCCCCCTGTAATAAAGGGAGTTGCTAACCAACAATCCTGGCCAATCTAGGCTGACAATCAGCCCAAATGAAGGAAGAAATTACACTATCCACTTACAAGACAGCTGTCGAAGAAGAGGGTGTAACTTTTCTATAATGTAGTGGGAAGGGTTGTCTCTGATCACAAATATTTAAATTGTGAGACCCACTGTAAAGAGGTAGTGGCAGCCTGTAGAGGGATAGAGGGGTGCAGTGGGAAAATCAAGGATTTATCCCAGTTTATCCACATTCCTGAAAAGGAGCCAAATTCATCCAAAAATTTGGAGAGCCGTGAGGAGGGAATCACAGGCGTCCCTGAAGTACAATAGGCTATTGTCAGCATACACTGAGACCTTCTCTTCCAATCATGATACCTCGCAGCACAACTGAAGCTCTTAGTAAGATGGCAAAGAGTTCAAGCCCTAAAGCAAACAAAACCGGTGAAAGAGGGTAGCCCTGGTGGGACCCTCTGTGCAGTTAAAGTTTCCGACAAGGTCCCATTTGTGCGCACATGAGCTTGGGGTCTAGAATAAAGTAAACGCACCCAAGAGATAAAGTTAGAACCAAAGCTAAACTTCTGCAACACAGACCACAGGTAGTCCCATGTCATAGAATCAAATACCTTCTCGGCATCGAGAGAGGCAATCACTCCAGGAGTCCCACTAGGCAGTCTACGCAGATTAATATAGGTGCCCCTGCCTGGCATGAACTCTTACTGGTCATCATGTATTAGGGTAAGAATAACATTATTCAGCCTCATGGCCAGGACAAGTGAGATAGGCTTTTATGATGAACACAGGTCAGGGTTCATGTCAGGCTTGGGAATCACCACTATAATGGCCTCCGACATAGAATCCGGATGGAGACCCTACTAAAGAGCCACGTTAAAAAGATCTAACAGTCGGAGGATGAGGACATCTGCATACGTCTTGAAAAATTCAACAGGTAGGCCATCAGTCCCAGGGGTTTTCCCAGGTTGCCAAGAAGATATAGCACGTCACCTCCTCCAACGTAGTCACAAACTTTCATAGAACACCCGCTCTGTCACTTTCAGATGCGGCCCCTGAGTAGTAGCCATGTATTAGATTTATTTTCATTTGAGTTCATTAAGATTTGAAGATTGAAGTCACATGGCTATAATAAAGATACTTATCCTTGTGGTACAGCTTTGTGAATTGAGCCTTGTGTGTTTATTTCATATTTCTGTCATTCCTGCACAGTATGAAAGGGGTGCGGTCGGCTCTGTTGACTTGCCCATTTGACTTATTACACTGAATGTTCTTATGGGGAAGAACACAGGAATGGTCTCCCCAGTGCGCTCTTTAACTGCCATTTAACTGCCATGGACATCCAGCAGCTGGCTCTGCCATCTATGGCGGTGTCTAGATCACCATACTGACTGAACAGAATTATATATCTTCTCACAAATATATATCAATAGTGTCTTTATTTCCTTGTCTGGGGTTCTGCTTCATATATTTGGTGCTGTGGGACCAGTAGTTTCTGGGGAGCCGCTTGTCTTGCTGGTTGCATGGAATCACTTGGAGTCCTTTCAATCCCTTGCACTTTATTGGCTTCTCACATAAAACATGGTAATGGTAACAGTTGCTTGTTGCCCATAGCTACCACTGAGCCACCTGCTGTCTATTTTACAGCCCAGATTTGAAAACACATAAGGAAACTGGTTACTAAAGGCATCATGGCCATTGATCATGTGTGTATTTGGTAGAAGTACTTGCAGCAATGGTACCCCTGTATTCAACTCCATTATTGGGAACCTCCCAGAACAAAAACAATGGAATACATTATCATTGCTGTATTGTTAAATGTGGTAGGCCATTGACTTTATCATTTCTTCACTTTGTTAATCAGTCATTCTTTTTTTCAAAAGACTACTCATATACCAATTTGTTAATGAGTTCCCTGTAATGGACCATTTACAACTTTTCACTTACATATGCATGCGTAACTCGATGGACTTGTGTCTTTATTCAACCTGACTAACTATGTAACTGGACAAGACACCTTGTCTTGTCCAATTACACACTGCATATGTAAGTGAAAAGTGGAAAGAATGAATGGAAGGTACAATATTGTATATTAAAGTATTTTGTACATTTACACATTGTATGAATACTCTCTACAATTCCTGAAGAAGCAGTGGATGCCACTGTGAAACACATAGAATTTTCCTGTTACCCGTCAGAGAAAATCAGCAGGAAAGAAATATGATAACTATGATCCAACAGGAAAGTGGACTTTATGATTTTGCTGACTATTGTAGTATATATAATATGATGTCATTTGGCAAAA